TTTTCTTCTTCCCCCCACCTCTCCTCCTCCTCCTCCTCCTCCTCCTCCGCCCTACCTTTCTTCTACCCCCTCCACCTCCCCCCATCGTCCCCTTTTCTTCACACGGCTTCCACGTCAGCACGAGCAATTTTTTTTTTTTCCCCGTTTTTTCTCCTCACCCCCAACCCCCCCAACCCCTCCCAAACCCATATATATTTAAAAAAAAGGAAAAAGAAAAAAACGTTCGCGTTCGGTTGGTTTTTCGACCAGTTCGCGTTCGGTAGCGAACGTTCGGCGACCGAATGCGAATACCATGCTATGCAGAGGGAAAGTTTAATTCCTCTAGCAACATCCAACCCTATGTCCTACGTGGCAACGAGGCCAACTCATCACGGCAATCTCTGCAGATAACGAAGCATTTTCGAGGAAAAAAATGCGAGAGTGAGTTTAATCTCTCTCTCACATCTAAGCGTGGGTTCTATGTGGCAACGTGACTGTACTCATCACAACGATCTCCCCAAGTTACACAATATTTTTCGGACAAAAAAAGGGAAAGGAAGTCTTATCCCTCTCGTCACATCCAAGTCCAACTCCTACATGGCAAAGATAAGCCGCAAAGTGACTACACTTACCACGGCGATCTTTCTAGATGAAGCAGTATTTTTCGAAAAAAAAAGGAAGAGGGATTTTTATCCCTCCCCCACATCCAAGCTTGAGTCCTATATGACAAAGTTACCATACTCATCACAACTATCACCCCAGGTTACGGGGCACTTCTCATTAAAAAAAAAAGGAGAGGGAGTTTTATTCCTTTCCTTACATCCAAGCTTGTGTTCGATGTGGCAAAGCGACCATACTTCTCACGATATTCATTCCAGATTATGCAACACTTTTCGTACAAGAAAAGTGAAGAGCGAGTTTAGTTCTTCTCGACACATCCAAGCCTTAGTCCTCTGTCGCAATTTGACCATACTCCTCACAACAATCTTTCCAGATCAGGCAACATCATTCGGACAAAAAAAAAGGGAAGAGGGAGCTTAATCCTTCTCATATATCCGATTCTGGGTTCTACATGCCAAAGTGATCATTCTCATCACAATTATCTTTCCAGATTAAACAATATTTTTCGAAGAAAAAAAAATCAGAGGGCGAATTTAATCCATCTGCCCACATCTAACCTGGGTCATACGTGGCAAAGTGACCGTACTCATCACAGCGATATCTTTAGATAGCGCATCATTTTTCTTAAAACATGGAAGGGAGAGGGAGCTTTATGCCTCTCCCTATTTCCAAGGCTGTGTCCTACCTGACACAATGACCATACTCGTATGATGATCTGCTCAAATAACACAGCATTTTTCGGGAAAAAAAGAGAGAGGGAGTTTTATGTCTCTCCCCATATCAAATTATGGGCCCAACACGGGATATTGAGGATAACACAGAGCTCTCTAGCGAGGAGACTGAAGACGACGTTCATCGTTTGAGCCACCGAGGCAATGCCCAGCACCGTGACCAACCTGGAACAGTTGTGATGAACGAAGAAGATGACAAAGGGAATGAAGGGGATATTGATTGTGAAGAGGATGACAATGGCAATGAGGAAGATGTGTATGGTCAAGAGCACGACAGGGGCTATGAGGAAGATGTGGATGGTGAGGAAGTCGGACAAAAGCAGCTAAGTCGGACAGAAGTAGTTTAAGCTTGGCGATATTGAACGCAATGGCAAGAGGGCGCCTAAGTGGCATGGCGACTACGCGTACGGAATATATGATGTAAACAAAGGCAGTAACCAACCAGCGACTTCCATGAGAATGGTGCAGTCCCAACAGGAGCCTTGTGGCGGAGGTCATACAAAACAATCAATGAGAAATGTTCAAGGACGGAAGTCTACCTGTCGAGGACGACGAGATCCCGCTCCAGATGCCCAGGAGGATGGAGAGGCGCTGCCACGTCCATGCACCGACAACATCAGGGGACAAAGGACATTGTTCCATTGCATCTACGAAGGAGATGTTCGAAAATACTCCACTGTTTCATGGAAGGATGTGCCCTTCGTACTTCAAAAACTTCGGAGACATGATGTGTCGCGAGAGGGAAATAGCGATGCTCCGGCTCATGAGGGGGAGGTGGTTGCCACGAACATCTAGGTCATGCCTCCAAGGGCGAACACCGAGTTCCCTCTCGACATCATGCGTAGAGAGAGGTACATGGTCCACATTTTCAACTGCGTTGTGTTCCGTGCCGAGGGGTGGGTCGATGAGGATTGGAATGAAGACTTCTTCATGTCGTACTACAAAGATCTCAAAAATATGTTCGGGCTTATGGGCTGTATGCAGAATAATGGCAGAACAAGTTTGGGAAGTTGCACAACAACAAAGTCAAATTAGTCCTTCGACAACTGGGTGAAGTGGAGGAGTACAAAGCAGGGGCGGACCTTGAACCAAGAGAGGTTATGTACTCATAGGCGTCATTCCACTTCAAGGTCTTCATCTACACAGTCATCAACAAGCTTGATTTACTTCGGGTGGAGGTGAAAGGAATTGACTCAAGCATACAACATGTCGTCTATGAGAAATTTGAGAGAGAAATGACACTGCTTCCTATATGCATGCGACCTAATGAAGTGTTGGTGGCAAACGATGAAATCGTTGTGTCTGCATAGAAAATGGCATGTTGGGCAGCCAACCTCGACATCTCTACGGGCATACTGTGCAGTGGCTTGGACCGTGCAAGACTTTAAAGCACTGTACAAAATGATGGTCAAATACTGTGGGCAGAATTGAGTGCTCATCATCTTTGCACCCCTGAAGGCGCATAGCCACGTGTTGTGTCGCATTTTTTGCTGGGAGGGCGTTGAACTCACCCCAAGGAGTTGGAATCGAATCGACTAACCACCCAAATTGAATAACGTGACACGGTATGGTAACATCGCCACACAAACGCGAGACATGATGGCCATTGTTCTGCGTGCAAATGGAGGGGATCTATGGAAAATCATTGTCGCATCGCAGCTTGGCAATGACCTCATAAAAGTGCATGTCGTGGAGAAGACACTTTGTGAAGAGACATTTTGTGAAGAGACATTTTGTGAAGTGCCTTGGGAAACACAGTGACATCGAGGGTGACAAGTGTTGCATATTCCATATAATAGCGAGAGCTGAAACGGTTGCATACCTTGTGTGGATTGTTCATCAGAGAGGCAGAGAGTGTTCTGTTGTTTGGGAGGGTACACACAAGACTCGTGTGAGAGTTCTTGCGCGTAGTCAATAATATCATTGAGTGTGATGACTCGACACAGCCGTACATGACATTGCATATTTAAGGACGTTCATTAACATACTCATCAAGGACGACAAATTCAAATATGGGTTTGAGAAACCACGATGCACACATCACAACAATGGGAACATGCACCATAAGTTGAAACCCAAGAGATTCAAGGTGTGGGAATACCAGTTCCGCGATGCGCCGCAGGGACAGCTTGATGGATGATACATAAATAGTAAAGTGAAGGCAAGAAAGACCCTCGAATATTATCATGATGCTCCCACATGCGACTTCGAGACATTCATTGTGCGGTGCGAGATCGTCCAGCTCGATCTCCACAAAGACGAGTCGACTTTCAAAGATAACGGGAAACTCGAAAAAACAAGTGAAGGGTTTAACCCAATCGACAACGAGGAAGACTTCACCGAATCTGATCTTGATGTGGCGAAGCCGCGAAGGTGTTAGTGTGGTGCACTGCGACGAGGACCCTGCATGTGTCAACGCACAACTAGAGCAACGGGGGACCGTGCAAGATGAAGGATCCTTAAATTTTTTATTTGCGAACAATGTTGTATCGACGATGGATGAAGTCTTTTGTATTCCTATGTCGAGGGGAGACACTCGAGTGTGTGGCGCCAATAAAGACGTGAAGCTCGATCTCCCACAACATGCGATGAAGTCAGCGCCGGACGATTTTATTCCTGCCGACTTTTGTACCGACCCACAAGCGATATATTAGTGACTAGAAGAAGATGGCGGTCAAGTACAAGAGAACTCGATCACCACAGGAGATACGTAAGAGGCTGTAGATACGATAACCGAGGATGACAAATCCTCTGGTGCGGGTGCCATGTACGGGTCCGGGAACAACCGTTGCTATGGAAAATAGATCGGAGATGGAGTCTGAGTCCACTGTTGTCGTAATCCTCACAAGAATGTCGATGTATCCATCTTCATGCAAGAATAAAGGTGATGCACATTGCACAATGACAACACAGGGAGGACAACAAGGGATGGTGGGTAGGGGGGAGATGTAGAGGTATCTGAGCATGCTTGCATTGTTGTTCATAAAAATGTGGAGAACAAAGACTTAACCGAGGGTGGAAAGAATGTCGAAAATGGGCAAGCGGGGACTGCAAAGTATTATTTAATTTTCATGTTTTTTTTCAGTGCCAATTCATGAGCCGTGATTCATATAATATATTTCCCCACGAATTGTGGTTGACCACATTCAATGCATTACATATTGATGTTTCAACTTATGTGAGTATTGTCTTCACTGGACGAGTGTGTATGTATCTATGGATGCTTGTATATGTGCGTGTGTGTGCATGTGTGTGTGTGAGTGTGTGTGTGTGTGTGTGTGTGTGTGTGCGTGTATGTGTGTGTGTGCACGTGTGTATGTTGAGGGAGGGGGATCATAGTAGT